TTAAGTTTTGCAGATTTATAATTTTTTTTTTCCCTTCCTGTATCCTTGCGGCTTCATTTGGGTGGTTTTTAGACTTACTGGCCGTGGGAGAAACGCTGAGCGGTTTTAATCTGTGTGTGCCCCCAGCCCCGTGAATGAAAATGCGGTTTTTGCTCCCTCAGCCTCGGGGGGGAGCAGATTTTTTGGGCGGCAGATCTCATTGCCTCCCCCCCCGCCCCCGCTGTGGGTCATTGTGTTTTGCTTTGCCAGTAGAACTCCTAAAACTCCCCGCTGGCGCATCCTCGGCGAGTCCCTGGGCGATAATAGCTTTGAAAAGTCTTTGGAAAATCATCCTGGTTGTGTTACTGGTCGGGAGATTGGGACGATTTTGTAGGAGCGAGAATGCACCCGGGGAGATTTTCGAAGCGGGTGTAGGAGGAGGAGTCGGATCGTTTGGTAACTACAAATTTACTGTCTTTTTCCCCAAGTCAGAATGACTTCAGCAACGCTGCTTACAGGCGTGATTTTGAAAGCCGTCTTCGGAGTGCGCTGCAGTCGGCTCTGTTCGCTTATAGGTCTCCGAAAGTGCTGTTTGTGTTCGTTATTAATTCAAACGTAAGCCTAAAATTATCATCCTGCGTGTAGGGGACCAAAACGAAAAAATAATCAAACCTGTCAAGTAAAAAAAAAAACCACCCCAAAACTATATTTTTTAGAAAACGTACTCAGCTGCTGCTGTTACAAGTAACTAAGTAATAGGGAGATGCTGAGGGGGGGGTGTGCCTGTATTTGTGCTTTGTGTGACATTTAGTTTTCGTGATTTCCTCTACCTCCTGGCAGTTAGGCCTCAAAAACAGGAGAAATTTTTGGACAGCAAAGGAAGAGGGGAGAAAACACCTACAGCCACAAAAAAATCAGGGTTCAGTTGCAGTTGTAGAGCCTGCATCAAATCTTTAAACTCTGAATTGGCCGTGTCGTCTAACTCCCTCTCCTACCTGTCAGTCTGTCTGTTTGCCCCTCCTTCTGCAAAATAGAAGGGATTTATAATTTTTTTAGGGGAGTCTATTTTACTTGCTCTACGGAACATTAAGCTCATATTAGGGGCTTTTCAGTGAAGAGTCAATTCAGAAATGAATGCACGCATTGAAACGGAAAACCCATGTAAATCACTAGCGCCGGGAAAAATCCGTCTTTGCTTATTATTCTGTAAGTGCCGTAAAACTGTACATTAAGTGCACCCATATTTAGGGCTTTTCAGCATTATTTTAGGGCTTTTGGGAAGCCTGGATACCTGTGCAGGTGATGGTGCTCTGCACGCACTTCCTTGCTCGACACAACCGCAGGATGGCTGCGTTTTATGAAACTTACTGGAATATGGTGCGATATATTTATTTTTCTTTTTTTTTTCTGTTCTTCGCTGTGTTGGAGGCAGAGGCAAGCTCTCTGATGCACTCTCTTCAGTTGTAACAGGAAAATATGCCAGTAAAGACATTAATTCTGCTTATTTTCGTGTACCACAGTACCTGCAGTTCCTCTCATTAGTCAGTGTCGTTAGTCTTTGGTGTAAGTTGATCCAGAAATGTTTTCAAGTTTTTTCTGCTTTTCCAGGATAAGCCTCATAATGCACAAAGGATGTTTTTGCCGTTTTCTTAATGCTGGCATCGTCTGACGTCAGCACCTTGCTAATTGTGTTTCCTGACTTTGCTCAATCAGCGCTTTTCTCATGTATTTTGTTTGTAAACAGATGGAAGCTAAACTATTGTGCATGATTAAATCGGCTTCCTTTTATACAGTTTAATTTGTAGCACAATAGTTGTGTGGCCTAGCTGGTTAAAACGAGCATTTTGTGTTTGTTGAAATGTTTCCTACTCATTTCTGTTGTTCTTTTTCAGTAGGTTTTGATTAAATTCAGTCACCTTGTACCCCAATGCAATTAGCTTACGCTTACAAAAGTCAGTATTCTTTGGTGCTTAATTCCACTTTGCTTAAAATACCGTGCATCTTTGCGGAGCTTTTATACGTTTTTCATGTCTTGCAGCGAAACTGTGCGGTTGGGGTGATGGTCGTTCCTGGAAACGCCCCGGTCATACAGCAGGACCATGCTCTGGAGCCTGACTTAGGACGAGACTCAACGGAGAGCTCTGCCATGGGCCCTGACACGGAGCCGGCGTCCGAGGGGGTTGGCCCAGAGCTGGAGGAGGTGCGGAAGCTGCGGGAGCTCGTGAGGAGACTGGAGATCGAGAATCAGCACCCGAGAACGAGGACTGGCAGGAGCGTGCTGGGGGCTAACACGCAAAGTGAGATCCGTACCGGCGTGGATAACCATGGCTCTGGTCTTAATGGGACGGAAATTAATAACAGCATCAACGCGATCACTGAGAAGCAAGAATTGCAAATAATGGCAGATCTGCACAACCAATTAAGCAAAATTAGAAAGGAGGAAGGAGAGAACAACTGCTTAAAAAAGGACATAGATGCCCAAATGCAATATAGTTGCAACAGTGCCGCTGAGGAATTGTCTTCCAAGATGGGTAAGGTGGAGATGAAGGCCGGTGATAACATCAGATGTTCTTCACGTACAGATACAAGTAATAGCACAGAGCTTATGGGAAACTTGGTCATTGCAGGTATTGATTCCTCGGTTAAAATAAGCGAACAGAATCCCAATGGAAAATGTGGAGGTCTAGAAGGCCTTTCGAATAACACAGATCTGGATGAAGCAAGAGTGTTAGAACTTGAAAATTGCAATGAAGAGGAAGATAGCTGGTATGTATTTCAAAAGTTTAGCAATACGTGGAACTTACTGCTGCGGTTGGGAGTTTCTGTGTGTAGGTCTGCAATAATTTTTAAGGGTATAAAGTGATTTCTGTACAGTGCTTTGATTTTTAGCAGCAAGAATGCAGTTCTCATTATCGGCTGTTCTTATTTTGTAGACCATTCTGCCAGAGGGTGGGTTGTTTGTTTTTTTTTAAATCAGTTTAAACCCTAAGGCTTCTCTTTCTGCCTTTCTTTCTGACACTGCTGTAGTAAGCACAGAAAACCTTCCTTTCCCTGTGGGCTTATTTATGTATAAAGCACGCACGTGAATGCATAACGGAGTTTTTAAACTTTGTGCATAACTGTCAAATACTGTATTTAAATAAGATTCTGTAAAACACAAAATTAGACAGTCTGGTATTTGTTCCTTTTACTAGTATCTAAGATGACAAATCATTTCCATTTCCTGAATCCTGTTTCTCTGCAGTTAACCTGTTTCTTTTGTTTAGAGGCATGAACTGAAACAGATGAATGATGTAATCCTTAACTGACCTTACTTTGTAGGACTCTCCACTTCACCAGCAGCCTTGTTTAGAACTTGTTTTATAAACCAGCAGATTAATTTCCCTTCCCCTTCCAAAGCTAGTTAAAGTTTGAGGCTAATGCCAGCTCATGCAATAGCTGTGACTTGATTTTACCCAGAGTTCTTAATTTTAAGACTTCGTAGGATAGCCTCAGGGATGTGCAAATTGTGTTTCAAAATTATGTAGCCAGAGATTAATCTGGAGGCTGAGACAGCATTGCAGAGTGGTTACTGAATACAATACAAGTCTTAAACTCTAAAAATTCATTAGCCATTGTAGGTGAAGGTAAACTTCTGTTTGGTAATGGAATGGAGCTCAATAACGTAATGACGTCAGCTCAAGTCTAAATTCAAGGTTATATTAGAAACGGGAAGGCATTGTTGAGGTGACAAATGAGGGAAGAATGATTTTCAGCATGCGTTAGTTGTGGAAAGGAATGTATAAAGTTAGAAGTGTTCCTCAAAATTGAGTTTCTCCTCCTGTGTTCTTTTCCTGGGCATTCAGCAAGTTCGTTCACATACCTCTCCTGGCTGCAGATGCTATGACTGACTTCTCATTTGTTTTTAACTTCTACTGCCAGTCATGATTTTTTTTTTTCTGTGCAAGCTTTCTTTTAAAACCCAAATACAGGCTCTAACTTGATCACTAAAACTCTGTAGCATACCTAAACAGCATTTTGAGCAGATTTCTTAAAAAAAAAAAAAGATAAAGGAATATATTTAACAAGTCGAATTTGGAAGGCAGACTTCATTATTTCCATGTTACTGAAAACAGCTAGTTTTATATTCATGTCTATATAGCCTGTGACATGAGAGATTCTTCCAACTATATTGGCTTGGTAAAGAAATCAGGTGGAGCCTGAGGTTTACACAGGCTGCGAATACAGTCAGGAGAGATTCTGCACCCAGAGGCTCAGTTTATTAACCTCTCCTTGAGTTGGTGGCTAATAAGGTTGCCCTTCTTCACCGGGTACCCTTCTCACTGGACCTTGTAGGATCTTCACGTTTTTCATACCTCTGTTTTCTTGTCAGGTTTGGTTAATATGGGCTAACATTAAAAAGAGGCGCCGCGAGGAGCTTAAATAAAGGTGGTATTACGGAGCTCTTGTGCAAGTTCTGTTATCACAACTTACCTTTGATCAGGTCGCATTGCTTCCGTCTGTTTTGTTTTCCTCTTGTCAAACAAACCTGGTCAAACAAGAAGCCGTTTTAACGATGGCTTCTTGTCCTAGAGCTCTTGGGCTAAACTGAAAGCGGGGAACGAATAATGTATGTACGGTCAGTAGTGCATGGCTGTGCTTATTGCCAAATACCCTAAATTCTCGTCGTAAGCACATGTCTCCGATGCTGTCTGTGCAGATATTCATGCGTTGCTACCAGCAATACCCAGAAAACCGTCGTTGGGGGCGGGGGGAGAGGGGACTTAAAAAGCCAAACCGAAAATCTTAATGCTATATGGATTTAGGATCAACTTTAATAAGGTGGCTTTGCTGTTTGGGGAGAGTTTTGTACTGCCTGGATGGAACTAATATCTAAATGTGTTGAGCAGCGTATTACTCAAAGCAAATAGCTTACGATATTGTGACATTTGCAGTCCTTTTTTTTTTTTTAAATATTGTACATTAGGAGAAAACCTATAGCTATTATTGGGACATATCATGTGTGCTTGATACTTACGATTTTTGGTCATTTCTGAGAAATTCACAGGGTGTTGGGTTTTTTTCCTGTCACTGCTGAATTTATAAATTTTAACAGTCCGGTCTTTTCAGTTTGCTGACCTTTTCTTTAATATCATCTAGTAGAGGGCGTGATGCTTTATACCTTGAAGGATACGAAGAACTCATTTTGTATTCTTTGAAAGTATGAAAACTTTTAAAATAAGGAGTGGGGAGCGGGAAGATTTCAAAAAGAGAGGCTTTTAGTTCTTACATCTTCATGCCATTCTAGTTTGAAGAACAGGTCCAAACTTTAGGGTAATTTCTGTTGTGGTTATGCCCCACAACTTCTTAGTAGGTTGGAAACCTCCAGTTAGGACTACCAGGTGGATTTTTGCCACTCGAGCTGAAGTGGAAACAGCAAAAAGCATTGCCCTGAGGGCCCAGGGAACGAACAAGATAACGCCCACAGTAGCGTTACCTTCTTTGTCGTTCGTGGGTACTCCCCATATAGAAGAATTAAGTTGTTCTGTGCGTTTAGTTTATTGTTCTTCGTGCAGTGATTTGTGTTCGGCATTTTGTTGCGCGTTCCCGCGCTACTTGTTTGGTGTTTTGCCAGCTGTCAGCTGTTTCTCCTGGTGAGACTCGGGAGAGAGGATTTTGACTTGGAATTATGATTAAATGATTCAAATTCCAACCTCCTGTGAACTACAAAGTGCTCTTATTAACGTGTCATTGGAGGAAAGAGAGAGAGGAAGAAATGGCAGAAGTGAAAAGTCTTAAACTTTTTCAATATTCTTTCTCCTTTTTACTTAGACTATTTTTGGGACACGGTTTAGTGGGCATGGTGGTGCTGGGTTGACAGTTGGACTTGATGATCTTAGAGGTCTTTTCCGTTCTTAATGATTCTGTGATTCTGTTTTTGCCTCCCATCTCCTGTGATGGAACGAGTAGCAAACTTTCTGTCCATGCCTCGCCTTGAACAACTTTAGGTTTTCTCCTTGATGGAAGGAGAGAGGCCCCTGTGTCTCACCAGGATTGCTACTGCCGTTGTTTAAGAGCTTAATCCCAGCGGCAAAACTGCCAGCAGTTTAACACAGGGCTTCAGATAAGCCTTTATGTATGTTCTTGTGCCTTTAAAAAAACCAAACAACAAAACCCAAAACACACCATAACAAGCAAATCTGTGTAACAGAACCTTTTCTTTAAAATTGTTGAGTTCCTCTTAGAAGACTATGTAAAATACGATGGGTGCATACATGAATGTACAGGTATCCTGTGTTTTTTGTGGGCTGAGGAGGAGAAGGAATCCACGTCACTCAGGTGAATCCCTGTGTTGCTGGTACATCCACGCCTTGCGCAGCTTTCATTCCCAAAAGCCTGTCTTTCAACTGAAAACAGGTTGTGCTGCCTTCACCTTACTGTTGTGTTGTCTCCCGCTTGAATTCAAGAGCAACACACAGCAAGTAGGGTGCCCTTGAAATAGTCTTTGTGAGATGAAGGAGCTCAAATAAATCACTGCTCAGGATTTTCCTGGGAGCGTGTGTTTTCAGCCCCATGCCCAGTGGCCTTCTATACTAATGTCTTAAGGCATTTCATTCAACGTACCGCGGGACAGCACCGATGTTAGCTTGTTGTACCATCAGAGATAGGAACAAACGTTCTGGAGAAGCTCCACCAAGCGAGGATGTGGTTCTGCGCAAAATTCAGGTATTATGCAAATACACCATCATGAAAAATACGGCATCTTGTGCTTCTAATGTGGGGGAGAACTTTAACTCCCGACTCTGTACATAATCCGTTCAGACATTTCCACGGTTTGCCCGCGATCTTTCCTTGCCAGCAACACTCTGCGTGACTTAGAAGCAGTAATTTGCAAGGACTTAGATTCTCAGACTGGTCATCTTACGAAAACCTTCCGGAGGTATTTTTGCCGAGGGAGCGGTTAGCTCTGCTGCGTTAAATAACGTACAGCTGACTTCTCGAAACACTTCCCGATTGCCGAGCTGGCCTGAGCCGCGTGTCGCCCGGTTGTGCTGGCCGCGGTTGGCCGTTGCGGTGTTCGGTGCCATGTCCGTCTCGCCGCGCGCGGTCTCTGGCTGGATGGGCTCCTTCAAAACCCTCCTGTGCGGCTCCAAGACAGCGCTGCCATCCGCGGCCTCCGCTGCCCGGCGCGTCCGGCGCCGGAGTAAGCTGAAGGGAAAAACCCACCTGCTTTTCTGACGCTTGTGTGCGAATCGCGACCTTTCGGGTTAAATCGCTTTCAATGGCGCAGGCTTACAACGGTCGCGTTCTTGTTGAAGCGCTTGAGGTGTGGGCACGGTCGTCCGCTCGGCGCCGCCGGCGCGGAGGCGGGAGGCCTTTCCACGTTGCCGCAGCAAGATGGCCGCCGCGCGGCACCCTTCCGCAAGGCGCGTACGACGCGACTCTGAAGTTGTCCCGCAAAGCGCCTTTTGATCATCGTACAGGCCGCTGGCGGTGTCGTCAGATTAAGTTAATGCGGCGTTTGGAGCTTCTGTGAGGTGGCGACGAGATTTTCGGTGTTGCGTTCGGCGGGATTAGTCACTAGACGGGCATGAAGAAGTGGTGCCTTTCGGGTTTTGCAGTGTAGTGGGTTTTTTTCTCTCTCCAGTTTCAGTTTCTTGGGAATGAAGGCTCAAACTTCTGTAATGCTGTTGTGTGGAATGTTTTCCACAGGATTTTTCTCATTCTTTCCTTTATATTCCTATCATTTCATTTTTCCTATCATTTCAAGACCTGGACAGTATCGT